GGTGACTCTCAGATCCACCTCTACGCAGACGACACCATTTTGTATACATCTGGCCCTTCATTGGACACTGTTAACAAACCTCCAAACGAGCTTCAATGCCATACAACACTCCTTCAGTAGCCTCCAACTGCTCTTAAACACTAGTAAAACTAAATGCATGCTCTTCAATCGAACGCTGCTGGCACCCGCCCACCCGACTAGAATCACTACTCTCGATGGGTCTGACCTAGAGTATGTGGACAACTACAAATACCTAGGTGTCTGGTTAGACTGTAAACTCTCCTTCCAGACTCACATTAAGCATCTCCAATCCAAAGTTAAATCTAGAATCGGCTTCCTATTTCGCAACAAAGCCTCATTCACTCATGCTGCCAAACATTTCCTCGTAAAACTGACTATCCTACCGATCCTTGACTTCGGCAATGTAATTTACAAAATAGCCTCCAACATTCTACTCAGCAAATTGGATGTAGTCTATCACAGTGCCATCCGTTTTGTCACCAAAGCCCCATATACTACCCACCACTGTGACCTGTACGCTCTTGTTGGCTGGTCCTCGCTACATATTTGTCGCCAAACCCACTGGCAAATCCCTGCCTTATCTTAGCTCATTGGTCACCATAGCAACACCCACCCGTATGCACTCCAGCAGTTATATCTCACTGGTCATCCCCAAAGCCAACTCCTCCTTTGGCCGCCATTCCTTCCAGTTCTCTGCTGTCAATAACTGGAACGGATTGCAAAAATCTCTGAAGCTGGAGACTCTTATCTCCCTCACTAACTTTAAGCATCAGTTGTCAGAGCACCTTACCGATCACTGCACCTTTACACAGCCCATCTGAAATTAGCCCACCCAACTACCTCATCCCCATATTGTTATTTATTTTTGCTCATTTGCACCCCAGTATCTCTATTTGCACATCATCTCTTGCACATCAATCATTCCAGTGTTAATAATAATTGTAATTATTTTGCACTATGGCCTATTTATTGCCTTACCACCATAACTTGCTACATTTGAACACACTGTATATATATTTTCTGTTGTATTTTTGACTTTATGTTTTGTTTTACCCCATATGTAACTCTGTGTTGTTGTTTTTATCGCACTGCTTTGCTTTATCTTGGCCAGGTCGCAGTTGTAAATGAGAACTTGTTCTCAACTGGCTTACCTGGTTAAATATATATATTTTTTTAAAGCTCAAAACTTTTGACCACGACTGTACACTGATTGAAGTGGATTTAACAAGTGACGTCAATAAGGGATCATAGCTTTCACCTGGATTCACCTGGTTAGTATATGTCATGAAAAGAGCAGGTGTCCTTAATGTTTTGTACATTCAGTGTATAATTAATTTATACATCCAAAAATGGATGTCGCAATTTAGGATTCTATCTTTAAGCTAAGGAGTTCACGACTACTTGCATCCAAAACATGACTAACTGGCCCCATTTCTGTTAGAACATTCCTACATTCCTTAACCACGTTGGCCAGATCACAACGACTACCACTGTACTTCAACTACACAGACTTCCCCTTTTTTTATGACACCCAAAAGACTGGAGAGACATGTCACTATTTCCCTAGTGATGGTTACTATGGTAACAGTCAGCTTGAGTTTATCTGTGTCAGCATAGAGCATCCAGGAGCATTTCCTTCCCTAAGTTATCCAAACTGATAGCTCTGCTCTGCTACCGCTGGACTTCAAATGGCACACTATTCCCATTTGAAGGCCAGCGGGAATAGTGCACTACACCACTTTTGACCAGAGTCCTATGGGCCCTGGTCAAAAGCAGTGCACTAAATAGGGAATAAGGGGCCATTAGGGACTCACCCTAAACCTCAGCTAAAGCAGTCCCAGCTGTAATTCACCCCCTCTCCCCTCCTTCCCTTCCTTCCCCAAACACGCTCTTAAATACCACATGATCAACCAGGCAGTCAGGCCTGCAATGCATCCTGGGAAGGAACACACTCTTTCCATTACCCTGCCTTATTAACATCACCATGGAAAATTATTTTAAAAGAGGAATAATCTATCTAATGTGGTTCCTTCTTTCTGGAAGAAAAAAATGAAATCAGGGATGGAAGCCAAGCCAACATGTAAACACTGACATGGACATTATCAGCTCATCATGACTGGAACTGAGATGGTCAGACTGGGCTATGATATGATGCGTCACAAATTACATCCTATTCCCTATATAGTGCACTGCTTTTGATCAGAGCCTCATAGGCCCTAGTGGTCAAAAGTAGTGCACTATATAGGAAATAGGATGCCTTTTGTGACGATGTACTACCATGTACTCAGTACTGTACTACCATGTACTCAGTACTGTACTACCATGTACTCAGTACTGTACTACCATGGCAACCTCTTCCTGTTCTGATGAGGGAATTAGTGAAATGTCAAATAAAACACAAAGGCTACGTTTACACAGGCAGCCCAATTCTGATATTTTGCCAGTAATTGGTCTTTTGACCAATCAGATCAGATCATTTGCCAATAATTGGGTACATTTTCAGAATTGGGCTGCCTGTATAAACACAGACATAGTTGCATGACCACAACATTTGAGTCACCACCTCTGTAGATATTTAGGTATTTACTCAACCAACCTCTCCAAAACCATCATTATTTTGATAACACTTTGCTCTCTTGTGTTGTTGCGTGTATTGTTAATGCTTGTTGCATTAATATTTTCTCCCTCTTCTGTCCCTCTTGCCTCTGCCTTACTGTTGTTGAGCTTAGCCCTGGAGGGTAAGAGAACGCTGTGAATGTGTGTGTGTACGTTCATACGCTCCTGTGTGTCTCTTTAGACCTCATTTCTCACAGAATTGTCAATCAGTTGTTATTTGATGTTGAAAAAGCAGGCAATGGGTTAGATTATAAAGTGGGGTGGGACTATGGAGTCTGTCTGTATCTCTGGTAACAGTTGTGAATTTGTAATGCATCATCTGATTTGTGGTGCTTTACAAATGGCACCCCATACCCTATGTAGTGCACTACTTTTGACCAGAGGGCCCTGGTCAGAAGAAGTGCAGTATATAAGGAACAGGGTGCCATTTGGGACTCAACCAGGGTTCATTCACCTGTTGTCTGTTCATTGAACCACTTTAGCCTTCTCTTCCTAATGCATTTCTTCCATTCACCGTACTGACACAACACCTCTTTACGTCCATAAAGTGGGCCATGTAGTGGGTCTTATATTGGGCCATTTAGTGGGGCATGTAGTGGGCCATGTAATGGGTCTTGTAGTGGGCCATGTAGTGGGTATTGTAGTGGGTCTTGTAATGGGCCATGTAGTGGGTCTTACAGCGGGCCATGTAGTGGGTCTTGTAGTTGGCCATGTAGTGGGTCTTATAGTGGGCCATGTAGTGGGTCTTGTAGTGGGCCATGTAGTGGGTCTGATAATGGGCCATGTAGTGGATCTTATAGTGGGCCATGTAGTGGGTCTTGTAGTGGGCCTGTAGTGGGCATGTGTGGTCTTGTAGTGGGCCATGTAGTGGGTCTTGTAGTGGGTCTTGTAGTGGGCCATGTAGTGGGTCTTGTAGTGGGCCATGTAGTGGGTCTTGTAGTGGGCCATGTAGTGGGTCTTACAGTGGGCCATGTAGTGGGTCTTGTAGTGGGCCATGTAGTGGGTCTTATAGTGGGTCTTGTAGTGGGCCATGTAGTGGGTCTTATAGTGGGTCTTGTAGTGGGCCATGTAGTGGGTCTTATAGTGGGCCATGTAGTGGGTCTTGTAGTGGGCCATGTAGTGGGTCTTGTAGTGGGCCATGTAGTGGGTCTTGTAGTGGGCCATGTAGTGGGTCTCATAGTGGGTCTTTAGTGGGCCATGTAGTGGGTCTTTAGTGGGCCTTAGTGTTTAGTGGGCCATGTAGTGGGTCTTTAGTGCTGTAGTGGGCCTTTAGTGGGCCATGTAGTGGGTCTTGTAGTGGGCCATGTAGTGGGTCTTATAGTGGGTCTTGTAGTGGGCCAGTAGTGGGTCTTATAGTGGGCCTGTATGGCATGTAGTGATTTGTAGTGGGCCATGTAGTGGGTTTGTAGTGGGCCATGTAGTGGGCCTTTACAGTGGGCCATGTAGTGGGTCCTTGTAGTTGGCCATGATGTAGTGGTCTTGTGTGGGCCATGTAGTGGTCTTACTGGCCATGTAGGGTCTTGTAGTGGGCCATTTAGTGGGTCTTAGTGGGTCTTGTAGTGGGCCATGTTAGTGGTCTTATGTGGGTCTTAGTGGGCCATGTAGTGGGTCTTATAGTGTCCTGTAGTGGGCCTTGTAGTGGGTCCTTGTAGTGGGCCATGTAGTGGGCATTGTAGTGGGCTTGTAGTGGGCCATGTAGTGGCCAGTAGTTGGTCTTGTAGTGGGCCTATGTAGTGGTATTCTTACAGTGGGCCATGTAGGGGGTCTTGTAGTGGGCCATGTAGTGGGTCTTATAGTGGGTCTTGTAGTGGGCCATGTAGTGGGTCTTATAGTGGGTCTTGTAGTGGGTCTTATAGTGGTCCATGTAGTGGGCCATGTAGTGGGCCATGTAGTCGGCCATGTAGTGGGTATTGTAGTGGGTCTTATAGTGGGCCATGTAGTGGGTCTTGTAGTGGGTCTTGTAGTGGGTCTTATAGTGGGCCGTGTAGTGGGTATTGTAGTGGGCCATGTAGTGCTTGTGTATGGTCAGATCTGTGTTTGTGTGGCTGTAATAATGTGTGTTTGTCTACGACATTGTTTCAAACAACCCTCTGAATCCTAAACGTAACACACTGACTTCTTCCTAAATGGAATCTGTGCACTTTTGACCCTTTTGACATGAATTATAAATAATGCTGAATTCCATATAACTCCACTATAGAATGCATTGCTTATTCCAGATGCTGATATCTTCCTAACATAACCTCTAACCCTCTCTAGATCCAACTTACAATTTCAAGGATATATTTGACTTAATTTAGCTCCTGGTCTCTACAAACATTTCAAATTCCTTGGGTTTTTGTCATTGTGATTCACTACCATGAATGACTGTGGTGTTGACTGACTCGTGATATATACTGCCATCTATTGGTGAGAGTTAAGAAATGCAAGGTTGAACATAATATAAAACATCTGACCCTCTGTGTTATTTCTCCATCTCTGCTCACAGTGTATTATTGTCCTTCATTTAGCTCCAGCCTCAGGAGATCAGCCCGCCCCCCACTGCCAACCTGGACCGCTCTAATGACAAGGTCTATGAGAATGTCACAGGACTGGTGAAGGCTGTCATAGAGATGTCCAGTAAAATTCAGCCTGCGCCTCCCGAGGAATACGTGCCAATGGTCAAGGTAGGAGAGACACAGTTTTCGTTAACTCCACATTTAATCATCAGGGTTCATTAGGGCACACTGTAGCAAAACGTCTAAGTTTCGCTCTTTTTGGAAATGTTTTAACCCTACTGAACATGGCTACACGTGACAGAGCAGAGTTCTAGGATTGGTTCATATGAGTGTTTGTGTTTCAGGATGTGGGTCTGGCACTGAGGACACTCCTGGCCACAGTGGATGAAACAATCACGTTACTTCCAGCTAGCACACACAGAGAGGTATGTTAACCAGGCATGGGCCATTTCTGATCCAGTACTATGTTAGTACCCTCTGCCTTCCCTTATACAGGAATTTACAGGAAATGATGTTTTAATGAGTAATATAATACTGTGCACCCTGTTCATTCTCTCAAACTATTTTTATTTAATCTCTCAATATATAATAATAATAATAATAATAATAATATATGGAACATTATGTTTTAATAAAGTACTATCTTATCTTACTATCCTATCTTATCTTAAAGGTGGAGATGGCCCAGAAGCTGTTGAACTCTGACCTGGCCGAGTTGATCAACAAGATGAAGCTGGCCCAGCAGTATGTCATGACCAGCCTGCAGCAGGACTATAAGAAACAGATGCTGACAGCCGCACACGCCCTGGCTGTAGACGCCAAGAACCTTCTGGACGTCATCGACCAGAGCCGGCTCAGGATGTTGGGTCAGGCCCGGCCGCCACCTCACTAGTGCTGGTGGAGGAGGGTTTGGAGTGTGGGATGAACTGACTGAACTCAAAGCTTCTGGCTGAATGACTGTCGGGACAGATGGAAGCCATGTAGTGGGTTTGTTCACTTACTATCATGTCTAATCAGTGATTACTTAAAGGAAGGGAGGAAGGAGGAAGAATGCACTGTTAAGTCATTTGAACTGGTCACTGCTTCTACAGTACCGTCAGGATGGACTGGACACCATGCGCATCACCAGGCAGACTAGCGACCACCTCTGACCCTCTCTCCCCAACACAGAACTCCTTTTTATAGACTTGGAATCTTTGAAGAGTTCTTTTATTTTATGCTGCACCGATTGTGTCGGCTGACTAACTGTGAATTCCTACAGTCCCAGATTTCGGCTAAAGAAGGATCAGGAGGCACACTTCAGAAATTGCTCCCCCTAAAGGACATAGGGGAGATGACGTGGACAACACAACTGAACTTGAACCTCTATGCTTTAGTAGACAGAACTCCTCACACTACGTCTAACGTCTGTTTCATTGTTAACAAGCTCAATAGTGATTAATGGTGGATCACAAACACTGGTATATATTTTGTCTTGGCTCAATCGGCCATAAAGTATGAAATAAAATGATGACCGAGAGACAAAGCTGTGACAGTGCTTCCCTGTGTTTATGAATGACAGGCAAAGGATGGTGTTTGCGTGTCATTTATTTTCCTAAATAATGTTTAGCAGAATTTTTCATTTTTCCAATAGTTAAATAGATTTACATTCATATTTTAAACTTCTCGACACGTCATCAACACATGTTCCCATTTAACACCAACAGCAGACATAAGGTCTCGTTTACAGGAATGAATACCTTAAAGGGAGCATCTCAGCAGTACTTCTCATACTAATCAGCTATTACATAAGTCTTATTAATAGCCTACTGACAAGTGACCATACTTATAATTTAGGTCTATCTGTAATATTTGCTGAGGAGAGAGAGGACACCTATTGGCAGAAGCAGGAGAGCTGTGTGGATGTGAATGGTAGTAGCCCCACTGCTGGGTTTGGCAGTAGCCACAGCGACATTGTTACACAGATCAGTACTGCAGCAGGTCACCACGTTGCCGTCTCCGAAGGGATCCAAACCAGCACCATTCTCCGCTCCCTGACAGGTGGCAAAACTGGCACACTGTTTCACCATGATTTTCTTATCACCTATCAACAGAAAAAATGTTTTGTGAACAATTGTTTTTTTATTATTAATACAATCAATGAGAATCATAATTTGAACAACCACCCTCTCTCACCAGAAAACAACATATTTATATCTCCCTCACGTAAGTCAGTTGATCAAGTCCTGTCCAATAGATAGACTATTACTTTAGCTTGCACCAACTAACATTAAATGTATCTTAGTAAATGTAGGTTTAATTTAAAACTAGTTTTGTGCAACATGATGAATAGATCAAACTCAATTTTTTAATCCAGTTTAAAAGTTAATGTATGTTGGTGTAACCCACCCCATTATTTACTACGCCAGAGCTTTCTATTTAAAGTGGAAAGTCAGTGGTAACTTGTATTTTCTATGATTGCAGTGTATTAACTGACTTTTACATATTCTACAATCAGTTCAAAATGTAAAGTAATGATATTGATCTGGATATTGAGCTTGGTTAATACCAGTTCCCTACCAGCTATTCAACAAGGTGTATTATTCCTCCTGCTTTCCTTACCAGCAATATCCTCTGTTGTCATGCAGGTGTCAAGAGGCTCCAGGCATTGTTTTATGTTCTGATTACAGTCAGCGTTGGAGGTGACTGAACTGCATGAGTAGCATCTCAGTGCATCGACTGAAACGACATACAAATGAAATGATAAACAATTGAAATGACAAACAAATTAAATTACTAACAAATTAAATGACAAATTGCAAAATGTGTAGCATAATGAATTACCTTTGTAAAGGGATAAACTGAGTAGAAGAATAAAGGAGAGAGTCCTCATTATATCATGAGTTGGATGATCAACTGAAAAAAAAACAAAAAAAAAACATACAACACAGGGTGGAGCTGTGTTGACTAATCAAACATGACCTTTTGACACTAAGATTCTGATGAAATGTGGGATGATTCCATTCTCAGTGGGGGTTCAGTTCTAGTTTTTGGTTTAAAAAAAGTTTGTTGAAAGAAACCAAGGAGAACATTTGACAGTTTAGGAGATTTCAAATAGATTAGAACATGAGGGAACAGCTTCCATTCCTACTGAAAGGTGACTTCAGAGATGTGTGGCTCAGCACTAGCTTGGGTACCAGTCTGTTTACAGTAGCTACCATTCCACTCCTAGTAGGGCCTACTTCGTGTCATCGCCAAACAATGGAGCTAATACTTATTTTATGATAAGTGGGAATTGAGCATACACACAAATTGCTAATAAAAAAACTGTGTATGACAAAGAAGACATTATTCTCATTGACAGGTATTCTGAAACATACAGTGGGGGAAAAAAAGTATTTAGTCAGCCACCAATTGTGCAAGTTCTCCCACTTAAAAAGATGAGAGAGGCCTGTAATTTTCATCATAGGTACACATCAACTATGACAGACAAAATGAGGAAAAAAAATCCAGACAATCACATTGTAGGATTTTTAATGAATTTATTTGCAAATTATGGTGGAAAATAAGTATTTGGTCAATAACAAAAGTTTCTCAATACTTTGTTATATACCCTTTGTTGGCAATGACACAGGTCAAACGTTTTCTGTAAGTCTTCACAAGGTTTTCACACACTGTTGCTGGTATTTTGGCCCATTCCTCCATGCAGATCTCTTCTAGAGCAGTGATGTTTTGGGGCTGTCGCTGGGCAACACGGACTTTCAACTCCCTCCAAAGATTTTCTATGGGGTTGAGATCTGGAGACTGGCTAGGCCACTCCAGGACCTTGAAATGCTTCTTACGAAGCCACTCCTTCGTTGCCCGGGCGGTGTGTTTGGGATCATTGTCATGCTGAAAGACCCAGCCACGTTTCATCTTCAATGCCCTTGCTGATGGAAGGAGGTTTTCACTCAAAATCTCACGATACATGGCCCCATTCATTCTTTCCTTTACACAGATCAGTCGTCCTGGTCCCTTTGCAGAAAAACAGCCCCAAAGCATGATGTTTCCACCCCCATGCTTCACAGTAGGTATGGTGTTCTTTGGATGCAACTCAGCATTCTTTGTCCTCCAAACACGACGAGTTTAGTTTTTACCAAAAAGTTCTATTTTGGTTTCATCTGACCATATGACATTCTCCCAATCCTCTTCTGGATCATCCAAATGCACTCTAGCAAACTTCAGACGGGCCTGGACATGTACTGGCTTAAGCAGGGGGACACGTCTGGCACTGCAGGATTTGAGTCCCTGGCGGCGTAGTGTGTTACTGATGGTAGGCTTTGTTACTTTGGTCCCAGCTCTCTGCAGGTCATTCACTAGGTCCCCCTGTGTGGTTCTGGGATTTTTGCTTGTGATCATTTTGACCCCACGGGGTGAGATCTTGCGTGGAGCCCCAGATCGAGGGAGATTATCAGTGTTCTTGTATGTCTTCCATTTCCTAATAATTGCTCCCACAGTTGATTTCTTCAAACCAAGCTGCTTACCTATTGCAGATTCAGTCTTCCCAGCCTGGTGCAGGACTACAATTTAGTTTCTGGTGTCCTTTGACAGCTCTTTCGTCTTGGCCATAGTGGAGTTTGGAGTGTGACTGTTTGAGGTTGTGGACAGGTGTCTTTTATACTGATAACAAGTTCAAACAGGTGCCATTAATACAGGTAACGAGTGGAGGACAGAGGAGCCTCTTAAAGAAGAAGTTACAGGTCTGTGAGAGCCAGAAATCTTGCTTGTTTGTAGGTGACCAAATACTTATTTTCCACCATAATTTGCAAATAAATTCATTAAAAATCCTACAATGTGACTTTCTGAAGAAAAAAAATCTCAATTTGTCTGTCATAGTTGACATGTACCTATGATGAAAATTACAGGCCTCTCATCTTTTTAAGTGGGAGAACTTGCACAATTGGTGGCTGACTAAATACTTTTTTCCCCACTGTATATCATTTTGTATAGCCTTAACATCATGAAGTGTGAAAATCTTGTTGCAAAATTGTTTTTCATTAGCTAAATGATCTAAAAGGCTGAACATGTGCATGGTGTTTGCAGTGCCAGTGCACTCAGTCGCATTGATTCCTATGGCACCAGTTTAGTGTGGTTCCTCCAGTGATGTCACAGAGTAATTGACAGAAATCAACAGTTTTTCAGAATGTCTCTGCAAAAGCACATAAAAATATGTTTTACTTTTAAAATGAGGTCAAATGTGAGTACAAGGCATGTGCACAGATAGAAACCTAGCGGTGCTGGAGCACCTGCCCTTTTATCCTGCTATGAAAAAAGTAAACTCATGAATCTCATCTCATTAACTCACGAATCATGAAAAAAGTAACCTTCACCGCCCTGCTGCGTCGGGCAGGCAGGCCCCGGGCCGTGATTTTGAAATGAATAACGCCAGTAGGTTAATTTTGAGTTTCTAGCATGTGTTGTCTCTTCATGGTCTGGGACAGGGAAGGGTCAACTGCAGTTCGCTGTTTGTTACTAGCAGAACACATTCAAACCATAATTAAAGCCTACAATCTTAGAATTAGTGGTGACTCGAGGAACCCTGGAAATCCTCAAGGAATCATTGTTGCTAGTCAACCATGTCTGTATTACTCTGTAGAGACTTTCTTCTCAATTCATTATTTTTTTTTAAACAACCATGGGCTGCTTCTAACTCAACTACAATAGGACTATTTCAGGCTCTACAAGATGACTGGACTGGATCACTTTCACAGTTGCTCTCTCTTGTGAAATCAGTTCTGCAAAATAACGCACCAGCAGTGATGTTGTCACTGAGATTGAGAAAGATGTTATTGGTCATATTTTAGCCAGAAAAGGAGAAGACACTGGTTCCTTTTTAGTGAACCCAAGATATAATTTGTTTGTCTCTGTAACGAGGACAGTTGCATAGTAATTTAACTTGTTGATAGAATAAAATGAAAATATAATCACCTTTGGGTTTCAGAAAAGTGCTATAGAAGACCTATGTATTATTGTTATTATTATTATAATAATCATTATTATCATTTTGTTGGAAACAGAAGACCATATTAAGTTACTTCAGATTCCAGCCACAAGCAGGCTTTTAATGTTCTGTCATGACAATGCAGCAGAGATACAGGTAAATCATTTAATTGTAATAATTGAATCAAAGAGGAAACACATTTCCTAAACCCTAGTAGAGGGATGTGATTCAAAAACATCACGCTAGCCTTCCTACTTATTTTTAAAAGACCTTACAGTATCTTCATTATTTAATGCCCCCCGTGTAGCTCAGTTGGTAGAGCATGGCGTTTGCAACGCCAGGGTTGTGGGTTTGATTCCCACGGGGGGCCAGTATGAAAATGTATGCACTAACTGTAAGTCGATCTGGATAAGAGTGTCTGCTAAATATTTAAAGTACAGTTGATTCCTGATAAGTGCACATTGTATACAGTGGGGGAAAAAAGTATTTAGTCAGCCACCAATTGTGCAAGTTCTCCCACTTAAAAAGATGAGAGAGGCCTCTAATTTTCATCATAGGTACACGTCAACTATGATAGACAAAATGAGAGAAAAAATCCAGAAAATCACATTGTAGGATTTGTAATGAATTTATTTGCAAATTATGATGGAAAATAAGTATTTGGTCAATAACAAAAGTTTCTCAATACTTTGTTATATACCCTTTGTTGACAATGACACAGGTCAAACGTTTTCTGTAAGTCTTCACAAGGTTTTCACACACTGTTGCTGGTATTTTGGCCCATTCCTCCATGCAGATCTCCTCTAGAGCAGTGATGTTTTGGGGCTGTCGCTGGGCAACACAGACTTTCAACTCCCTCCAAAGATTTTCTATGGGGTTGAGATCTGGAGACTGGCTAGGCCACTCCAGGACCTTGAAATGCTTCTTACGAAGCCACTCCTTCGTTGCCCGGGCGGTGTGTTTGGGATCATTGTCATGCTGAAAGACCCAGCCACGTTTCATCTTCAATGCCCTTGCTGATGGAAGGAGGTTTTCACTCAAAATCTCACGATACATGGCCCCATTCATTCTTTCCTTTACACAGATCAGTCGTCCTGGTCCCTTTGCAGAAAAACAGCCCCAAAGCATGATGTTTCCACCCCCATGCTTCACAGTAGGTATGGTGTTCTTTGGATGCAACTCAGCATTCTTTGTCCTCCAAACACGACGAGTTTAGTTTTTACCAAAAAGTTCTATTTTGGTTTCATCTGACCATATGACATTCTCCCAATCCTCTTCTGGATCATCCAAATGCACTCTAGCAAACATCAGACGGGCCTGGACATGTACTGGCTTAAGCAGGGGGACACGTCTGGCACTGCAGGATTTGAGTCCCTGGCGGCGTAGTGTGTTACTGATGGTAGGCTTTGTTACTTTGGTCCCAGCTCTCTGCAGGTCATTCACTAGGTCCCCCCGTGTAGTTCTGGGATTTTTGCTCACCGTTCTTGTGATCATTTTGACCCCACGGGGTGAGATCTTGCGTGGAGCCCCAGATCGAGGGAGATTATCAGTGGTCTTGTATGTCTTCCATTTCCTAATAATTTCTCCCACAGTTGATTTCTTCAAACCAAGCTGCTTACCTATTGCAGATTCAGTCTTCCCAGCCTGGTGCAGGTCTACAATTTTGTTTCTGGTGTCCTTTGACAGCTCTTTGGTCTTGGCCATAGTGGAGTTTGGAGTGTGACTGTTTGAGGTTGTGGACAGGTGTCTTTTATACTGATAACAAGTTCAAACAGGTGCCATTAATACAGGTAACGAGTGGAGGACAGAGGAGCCTCTTAAAGAAGAAGTTACAGGTCTGTGAGAGCCAGAAATCTTGCTTGTTTGTAGGTGACCAAATACTTATTTTCCATCATAATTTGCAAATAAATTCATAAAAAATCCTACAATGTGATTTTCTGGATTTTCTTTTCTCAATTTGTCTGTCATAGTTGACGTGTACCTATGATGAAAATTACAGGCCTCTCTCATCTTTTTAAGTGGGAGAACTTGCACAATTGGTGGCTGACTAAATACTTTTTTTCCCCACTGTAAGTGCAAAATCTCCATTAATGCATTGTAGCTCAATAGTCCCATTTCAAATACATCCTGGATACATACAGTATGTGCATGTTCTGGTTAGCTCTCACATAATATTACATTATAACATGTTACCATACTTATAATTTAGGTCTATCTGTAATATTTGCTGAGGAGAGAAAGGACACCAAGTGGTAGAAGCAGGAGAGCTGTGTGGATGTGGATGGTAGCCCCACTGCTGGGTTTGGCAGTAGCCACAGCGGCATTGATACACCGATCAGTAATGCAGCAGGTCACTCGGATGCCTTTTCCGGATTCACTCAAACCAGCACCAGCCATCTCTTGCGTACAGTGTTCAGAACTGACACACTGTTGCATGACTTTCTTCTCACCTATCAACAGAAAACAACATACAGTGAGCTCCAAGTAATCCTGAATGAATCGTGAATAATGATGTGTGAGAAAGTTAGACCCACAAATATAATACCCCCAAGACATGGTAATCTCTCACCATTACAATAACAGGGGAAGTTAGCATTTTTTTTGTGCGTCTAACTTTCTCACTCATCATTGCTCACGATTCATTCAGGACTATTCGTAATCATGGTAGCATCCACATTAATGTAGAAGTGTTTAGAAACATATGATATTCTTATTTACAATAAAAGTGACTCCAAAATGACACAATACATTATTTACCATTCATTTCTATTGGGCATAAATAATCAGAAACACAACCAAAACAAACAGCAAATGCATCCAACTAATTTGTAGTCACAAGCTTGATGTTGTCATTGCGTGCTATGAATATGGGACCAAATACTTAACTTTTGACTACTTTAATACACGTACAGTACCAGTCAAAAGTTTGGACACACCTATTTATTCAAGGGTTTTTCTTTATTTTTACTATTTTCTACTTTGTAGAATAATAGTGAAGACATCAAAACGATGAAATAACACATATGGAATCAAAGCTGTCATCAACGCAAAGGGTTGCTATTTGAAGAATCTCAAATATAAAATATATTTTTGATTTGTTTAACACTTTTTTGGTTACTACATGATTCCATATGTGTTCTTTCATAGTATTGATGTCTTCACTATTATTCTACAAAGTAGAAAATAGTAAAAATAAAGAAAAACCCTTGAATGATTAGGTGTGTCCAAACTTTTGACTGGTAGTGTACGTGGATTTGTCCAAATACGTTTGGTCCCCTAAAATAGGGGACTATGTACACAGCTGACAGTCTGCACTTTAAACTCATAGCCATTGTATCTTTTCAAATCCAAATTGCTGGAGTACAGAGCCAAAACAACAAACATTGGTCACTGTACCGATACTTTTGGAGCTCACTGTATGTCTTTTCCTCATGTAAGTCACTCAATCAAGTCCTGTCCAATAGATAGACTATTACTTTAGCTTGTGCAAACTAACATTAAGTAGATTTTAGATTAGAGCTATTCAAGGCTTAGTAAATATAGGTTAATAATGAATCAGTTATTATGTATTACATTACAGATTTTCTGGAAAGTCACTGGTGCCCTGTTTTTTCTATGATTGCAGTGTATTAACACATTAGGGTTAGAACACAAGTTTAACATGTTCCACAATCAGTTCAAAATGTTTTATAAAATTATGATATTGATTAGAATGACTCTTGGTTACTACCAGTTTCCAAGCTAATCAATTATTATTCCTCCCATTATCCTTACCCTCATTATTCTCAGTGATCATACACGTAGCATTCTGAGTCAGGCATATTTCCTTATTACAGTCAGCATTGGAGGTGGTTGAATTGCAGACATAGCATTTCAGTGCATCGACTGAAATGACATACAAATTAAATGACAAACTGCAACACACATTTAAAAAATGACAAACAAATGAATTGACAATGTGCAAAACGTATAGCATTTCAGTGCATCAATGACAGGCGGCAGGTAGCTTAGTGGGTAAGAGCGTTGTGCCAGTAACCGAAAGGTTGCTGGTTCTAATCCCCGAGCCAACTAGGTGAAAAATTGGTCGATGTGCCCTTAAGCAAGGCACTTAACCCTAATTGCTCCTGTAAGTCGCTCTGGATAAGAGCGTCTGCTAAAATGTAAATTAAATGACAAAGAGCAACACGGAGAGCATTTCATAAATGACAAACAAATAAAATGACAAATTGAAAGGATAACATGCATAGTATTTCAGTGCATCTACTGAAATGACAAACATATAATGTGAAAGAATTACAGTGTGAGGAGTCATCAACATCATTATTCAAAAGACACATCCATCCATACAATGACAGTTCTGATACCTGACTTTCTGACATGTCAATAAGATCATGAATGTGGTAAAGTAAAGCAAAAAAATATATAGAATTACCAAATATGCAAATAAGTAATACAGTTTATAAATGTATTTATCACTTAAATAATCAAAAGTCCAATTCATACTGAAACATAACTTTATTATATCATCATTATTATAATTACCTGAGGAAAGGGATAGACTGAGTAGTAGCATAAAGGAGAGTCCTCATGTTTCTGTCCTGTCTTGTGTGGGCTCTTTGGGCATATGTGTTTGAAATAACGTTTTCTCATAAGGTCCACCCATAAGACATGCATACTGTCCAGGGTTGGGCGGAATGTTCTGGTAGCCTAAATCATACATTTTCTCAAGAGGAATCTGTTTATTTCATGAGTTGGATGATTAATTGTAAAACAAACAAAAAAAATAACGTACTACACAGGGTGGAGCTGTATTGACTCATCAAACATGGCATTTTGACACTAAGATTCTGATGAAATGTGGGAATGATTCAGTTCTGAGTGCGGGTTCAGTTCTGGAAAAAATAGTTTTCTGTGGAAAGAAACCAAGGAGAACATTTGGCAGTTTAGGAGATTTCAAATAGATTAGAATAGGAGCGAACAGCTTCCATTCCCAGTGAAAGGTGACTTCAGAGCTGTGTAGGTCAGCTCTGCCCTGGGTACCAGTCTGTTTAGCTAACATTCCACACCTTGTAGGGCTATTTTCAAGTTTCAAGTTTCATTTGTCACAAGCACAAGTACAATGAAATGGTTAACATGCAAGCACTTCCCAACAGTGTAGTATTCAATATCAAAATAGTACAACAACAAAAAAACTGGAGAAATAAGAGAGAGAGAGAGAAAAAACAGGAGAATGTAAGCTCTATACAGGGGTCAGTGCACTAGCTTGGACCCCCTTGTGGCCCCCCTAAATGCGGAGTCTGAAATAATTATCACAGATTTTTATTTTATTTTTTACATCCGTTATTAGACAGTGGCAAAGCAGAACACTAAAGTAACCCAACACATTTTCTAGTGTGACTCCTTCAAGCAGAACACAACAGTATCGTACCACGTGGATCTGCAAGTTTTTTTCTATTCAGAAGTTGAAAGAAATTTGGCGCGAATAATATCGTTCAAGCAAGAAGAAGGAAATAAAGAGGTGAGCAAAATGTTTAATATGTTGTATTTGTAACATAGTTAACTATTAAATGCATTACAGAAGTGTAACGGTAGATCAGCTAATGTTAACCTGGCCTTTTGTTACTTTCTTTGTGAATTAATTAATGAATTGGATTGAATCCTGGCCTATGTATTCGTTTGCATTGTTTTTGGTTTAGTTTTGTAGCTAATTCTAACAGTCAGGCGTCGAAAATGTATGGCAATATGAAAAATGATATAATATTTGATCATAAACGCATGGTGCTGAGTGCTTTTACTTAAACCACTCTCAGTAAACGGATTGTAATGTTAAAATGTTAGACATGAAAGATAGCTACCTAGCATGTCAGTTATTTTCAGTAAATGAATGAATAAGCTTGGTCCCCATTGCTTTTGCTCTATAGTTCTCACCAACATGAAGAGAAAAAAGGACATAATGTTTCTTCCAAAGAAAAGACAAGGCAGGAAGTCAGACAGAGCCAGAGGGTTCAGGTGTGGAGAGAGCAGAGAGCCTGCAGAGAGAGAGCAGGAAGACTTGTCCATTGAAGAGACAGAGTGAAGGCATAGTAGAGCAGGAAAGTGAGAGATGGAGAGGCTGAGGGGGACATAGAGGCTGAGAGTGAGACACCAACAGAGGAGCCATGTGCGTCAACAAGCAGTGGACCATCAGGTTTGTGATGTTGAATACATCTGTGGTTACTTGTAAAGCAGTGCAATTAGTCCGTTTATATATGTATAGAAATGTGTCGGTTTATGATTGAAATGAATGATCTCATTTAACATGCTATTGGGCTTGTGATATAGATATCAGATGGATTTCAGAAGTTGTCTGGCTAAGGTATGTGTCTAAAGTTACCCAAATAGATAGTTTTAATTATAGTTACATTTCTCAAAGAGAAGTCCCTGTTTCCATTTGCTAGAATGTATGAATCAAATATTGAGGACTTGGGGCATGAACTACATCAGTTCAGAAGAATTTTACAAAGGAAAATACAGAGTGGCTACACCCTCCAGTGTAGTAGAGCTAGCATTATTCATTGAGCCTTATAAATACGTTTTCTTTGAGCTCTTTAAACTGCAAAATAGCTGTTTCAATCCCTGTTAGTACCGCTTCTTGTGAACAGAGTTTTTCTGCACTAAAGCTGGTGAAAACGTATCTTAGGTCCACAATGTCAGATGAGAGATTAAGCAATTTAGGTGTATTAAGTATTGAGTCAAGGAGGGCAAAGGCCTTGAATCTAGATGAATTTGCTGATCTTTTTGCAAGAAACCACAAAAACCGTAGAATACAGTTGATGTAACTGATAATGAATATGTAATGCAAATGTAAAAATGTAATGTAAATGCAAATAATAAATAGTTGAATGATTATAAACATGGTCATTTGTCTATTAATGCCTGCAATGCAGTGAAGAAAACGACATGACAACAATAATGTGTAATGTAACTGGCCCCTCTAACAGTACAACTGGCCCCAGCCTGGCCCCTCCCAGTTGGAATGGTCTAGACCCGCCACTGGGTCAGTGCCAGTACCAGATTTACAATGAGCAGGGATACTGGAGTGATAGAGGTAGATATGTACATGTAGGCATGGATTAGCATTGCAGCATAAGTGATGGGTTGGTGTGTGTGTGGTGGTGACTGTATGTGTGTGGGTGTTAGTGTGAGTTGGTGGGTGTGTGGTGGTGAGTGTATGTGTGTGGGTGTTAGTGTGAGTTGGTGGGTGTGTGGTGGTGAGGTGGGTGTTAGTGTGAGTTGGTGGGTGTGTGGTGGTGAGTGTGGTGTGGTGTTAGTGTGAGTTGGTGGGTGTGTGGTGGTGCGTGTTCTGTGTAGTGGGTGTTTCGTGTGCTTTGGTGGTGTGTGGTGGGGAGTCGTGGGGT